TCCGTCTTTTGCAGAGCTCTTTGAGAAGATACTCAAAAAAGCCATTGTTTGTCACTTAGAATCCAGTCGTGTACTTTCTGCTCATCAGCATGGGTTTCGAGAGAACAAGTCGACTGTTTCACTAAGGTTGGAATCAACAAATAAATAATCAATCAATAAATGACTGGATCATGACGTTCGATGGAAACAACTTAGATGTCATTTATTTTGATTTTGAAAAACTTTTTCATAAAGTTAGTCAGTTTTTCATAAAGTATTATACCATCTCGGTGCATAAAATGAAGCGCACTAGAATTCACTTCAGGATATTCATTGGATTGAAAATTCCTCAAGCGAACTTTTCAGGTTGTAGCAAATATCTCATTCTCTGCCGTGAAGGAAGCTCCCAGCGGGGTCAGAGTTCAGCCGTGATATGTGAACCGAAGCGACGTCCCAGTACGACCCACCCCTCTCTTCCTCCTAACTGTTGGCTAACGAGAAGGATAGATACGTAACGATCCGCCTGCTCGCCGTTCGGAGGCTACTGACACTACCGACCGCCCATTGGGGGAGGCTTCGGTTAGCAGATAAACTGAGGCCCTTAAATCATGATATCAAGACAATATAAGTAAAATCACTACTCCTAGGTGCGTGTGCAAGACATATCCGGCCATATTAATTTCGGTGGGTGAAAATATAAACTATTGCATGAATAATCTACATAATCAATATACAAAAGCACCTAAACAACACAAAAGAACAGTAATCGCGTGCAAATATGTACATATTGTATAATTATTCCTAGATTACCTTTATCACTATGGAAATTTGGAATATCGACCATACTCCGCGCATGAATCTCTCCTGGAAGAAGAGTAGCCCATTGGACGTGGCCCGCGCTGCGATCTGAGCGCAAAATGGCGCTGGAGCGTTGACTGTTGACGAGGGGGAATCGCGGTGCGTTTTCCGAGCTTAATCACCTTTTCAGAAAGGCTCTTAGGAAACGGGACGTGTATGTCAACGTCATCACTGTACTGTTGCGTTTTCTAGCTACACACAGTGTGTACCTTCCCCGGTCATGGAATATTTCGGTTGGGTTACGGACGTGTCAGGAGAAAATCGCGAGCGGGATTATACGAGGATAAGTTCTTTCAAGCACAGTCATTTGCACTAAAAACGCCATTAGAACGCAGAACGCCCAGTAATTTCTCTCTCCAACAAGCTCTACAGTTGTAATAAAGACCCACTAGTTCAGAAGATATTTTAGATGGGTCATCCTCGCGCGAGGTTCTTAGCCACACAAAAGCTCGACTCCTTTTGTGTAATTGTAAGGCATACCCATTCGTGAACTCCAATATGCTTTCAAAACGCATAAGGAAAAATTCCTCTCGTTGACCTGAGTTTAAGCACGATTGGATTTTTATTCATCGATTTGGTCCGTGTGTGCGCCGTACATTACACCTTTACGCAGAGGTGGTGAAAGGTGTAACTTCTGATTTTTCTCCATGCAAGCAGATGTTTGTTTAGGGTTTGGGAAGGTCGATACGCACGAATCTGTTTGAGATGTATTATTAGTCATCTACGTACTTACGAGTTCATGCTAAGTAATGGTATTGCTAATCAGATGTTTCGATATTTAATGGTCTTCCTTAGATTCCGTTCCTCTGCAGCTTTCCGTCCGCTCCATGAAACAGGGAGCGGGCCATGCGTCAGAAGTGAGTGATGACAACGGCAAAAACTCGGTATTCGGTTGGAGGGCAGCGCTTGGTCCAGGAAAAAGAGGTATAGGTTAGCAATGATGACTGTAAGGATGACTAGAAGTGAGACACACCGGAATCGGCGGGACGCACACATGATGGGCGGTTTTCAGCTCCAAGATTTCAAAACTCGGTTCTGAGGTGGTTATGAGCGGGGAAGGAAGTTGTGAAAAAGACTGGCTCCTGAAGAGAACTGCGAAAGAGAAGTGCTAGGTAACTGATTATTGGAGAAAGATGCAGAAATAACAGCCCGAAATCCCTAGGACTAGATGCGGACTTGCATACAATGCAGAGAAGGCATATTCGTACGAATTTCTACTCATCCTTATCATAACGACACCAGAACTTTTACTTATCACCTCACTCTCACCATTACGGAATGAAGAGAGATAGCATAGTGGCTACCAGCTAGTAGCTAGCAGAGGGGGTCGGCATGGGCCTGAGGGGTGCCCGTGGGCCTAATTGGTCAGCTTCCAGCGGAGCTCTGTCTGATTTTCACTATTTGAAGGTAGCACAGCCTCTAGAATCGCCTTCAGGATTATCTGACAGGTTTGAGAGGTTGTAACCTAATATCGCGGAAAGTGCCTTTAAGCATGAGGTCCTCATCCCCAAAACTCGTGGTTCGGTGCGGGCTCATTCCAGGAAATGAGAAAAAAAGAGCATCTCCTCATGCACAAAACTCGTGGTTCGGTGCGGGCTCATTCCAGGAAATGAGAAAAAAAAGTGCATCATGGTCAGCAAGGAGTGGATGATATGAGGAAGTCGGCCGGAATTAACTTCAAAACCATGTCAACGGTTCCAGAACAGCTCGAGAACCGAAAAACTACTCTAGCATGAAGTAATTATTCCAAAATCGAAGGTTCGGCTTCAGGGGAGGCCAGGGACTGAGCAAAAGTGGATTATGGTCAGCGAGGGGTCAGCGGCAAGGACAAGGACACATCCATTGTGGGCGGGGAGATAAGCTATGGAACCTCGAAACTCACAAGTTCGTATCACGCAGTTTTACCCTCGTCATCCGGGCAGTTGATTAGGGCGGTCGTCAACGGGCCGCAGCGCGTGCCAGGAACTATTTGCTTTTTCCAGGCTAATTTAGTCATTTTTTCCAACTTTTCACTGTTTTGGCTACTTTTTCCCAGATTAGCAGCTCCTTATCTTCACAAGGTGGAAAAAATGACTAAATTAGCCTGGAAAAAGCAAATAGTTCCTGGCACGCGCTGCGGCCCGTTGACGACCGCCCTAATCAACTGCCCGGATGACGAGAATATATTGATCTACAATACCAGTCGAGTCGCTGGTGACTTTTCCTTCTGTGACGGCCCGGTCGTGCGAGCGCGGCTTCATCGTGCTGCTTTAATGCCGGTGTCCTTTTAAGTATACTGAAGTCAACATTCCTTAACATACATACGTGGGGCAAAGTCTTCCCGCCGACGATACTAGGCCGTGTAATCGAAGGAGGGGCACTGGCGACGGCTAGGCGATTCGACTGGATCATCTGAAGTCGACCGCTCAAATATTGAATTTCAACAAAAGCACATGCTCACTGATGTTTGCCAATGAGATTTGTCATTTGATAGGAACAGATGAATTTGTAAATACTAAAGACTGTTTCACCAATGCTACTGGAATAATAGAATGCAAAGAAATTTTATACACATTACGGTGCTATTACTAGTGTTGTTACAACACTTCAATCCATTTGTATCCAGACAGGGGAATCCTTGAAGAAAGTATGACGAATTCATTGTCAGCTCAGCTGTCGCATGTGATAAAGCATGTGGTGTGATATTTAAAATCTGGCATCTTAATTTTACTCTCTCGGATTTTGTACCCTCTCATCATAATTATGTAATCTTGTACTTTTATCCTTGTTCGCCCACTGAGCCTGGACATCAGGAAGTGCATTGGCTGGATGCTGAACAATGGAGCATATTTACCTAGTCGAAGGTGATTCTCAATGTGTTAGTGTCGTGTTCTGGGTCAGCGATAGTTTACGTCGAAGCAGTCAAACACCAACGATTCGAATTCGCTGAAATCGCCATCCATTTCTGTTTACTCCTCTTCACTTGTTGTTAGTCTCAAACAGAGCTATGACAGTGCGACGGATTGCTAAGGGGTTACACAGTCCGACTTGATAACCGGCTCTGCCCTTCTGCTAAGTGATACTGTACTGAGGCATTTCAGTTGCACTTTCATTTGCAACATTGCGCCCTATTCGTTGCGTCAACTTGAGCAGGTAACCGGCTTATCGTTCATCCTAATGAACCAGTACCGCCTACTCTCCCTCATTTCTTTCCATCGATCACTTCATGTTTACATGCTATGACAGTTTTTTCACACCCATGTTGTTAATGATGCAATGTTAGGAAAACTATAGTTCAGGACTGCTGAATACGGACTACTGAATCGTCTTAATCAAAAAATTTTTTACGGAGTGACTGATACGAGAGTGTTCTCACAGTTTCCATGTAGGGATGTCGCGTTTCGAAGGAAAAGTCACTATTGTTACAGGTACTGGATTAAATGTGCTCTTTAGTCAATTAAAGGCAGTGGGCATGATGGCTGGAGGTTTGTCGTTACTTCCAAGGTAATTAGTGGGAAGTAAGTGGGAGTGGCCCCTTCCACCAATGACGTGGCAGTGACCCTCCCCCACCCGCCCCCAGCGATCGTGCCCACTTCCTTTAAGTAGGGAGTCGGTTGGAATGTCCGCGTGGCAGTGTCTCAATATTATACTGTACTCATGTTACATCAACCCGGTGTGAATGGTGAGCATATCGATGAAACATGCATCTCCCAACCGGCATGCTGTTCACAGCTACCATGCTGTGGGCGGTGTGGCATAAAGTGGATGGAAATGAGGCTGAATTGACTCCGGCTCAGCAAAAGTCATGAAAAAAAAGCGAAAAGTAGAAAATGAAGTAATCTTGGGCTCATATCCTTCATTCAGAGCTCGCAATAAGTACTCGTCTGCGCTCCTCTAACAGAAGTTCACAAATGTTTTTAGACATTGCACTTGTTTGTGAAAGATTTTTTATCGTTTCCGGCCGAAATTTAAAAGGAACGTGGCCTGTGGTGAGCGATTCTTGTGATGAGATAATCATTTTTGTTTGGCATCCCCTTTGTTAGATAGTGCGTCAATGGGCAAAACTGGCACATGCCAATCACTGTTGAGCATGCTTTTTCGTCCCGGATCTACTCATCATTTAAGGTTCCTCATCTGGAATTGGTGCTGCCACTGCTCTTCTTTTTGCCAAAGAAGGTGCTTTTGTGACCAATTACTGGCAGAAATAAGGCTAGACTTGAGGTGAGCAATAACCTTTTCCTTAGAAGTGATTCTGTAGAATGAGTCGGCTCTTGTTTTTTTTTTCTTGTGATAATTTTCACAGATTGTACGAAGCAGAACTCTGTAGGCCCAACCATGAAGTCCTGCAAACTAGAAGGTTAAAGGTCATCAGGCCTGGCCATTTCCAATGAAGTGCACACCGTTGTGCGCGTCTTGAGACGGTGAACTCAAATCTGTCTTCAGAATTTGCGGAACGAGTCTCTGAGCGGAGTTATGGAGGGGTTTATCCCCGCATAGTTGTTTTACATGCTATCGCGAGCAAACGTGGAAGCGTCTTTACATAAATGTATGGAGTCCTTCTGAAACGTGGTAGTAGAGCGCAACGGACAGCGAGTGGGTTCCCTAGGCGAGACGTCGAGGATCAAGTTCCGGCGGGTAGCACATTTTTGCATTTGTCCAAGAATATGGCCGACGAGGCTTCTAACATCTCTGCTCGCCTGCACCATCCTGTAAGGGGACCTGCGATCAGTTTTTTTCGAAAGTGTGGACCCATTATGGCTGAAAGAGTGCTTGTGCTTGTCCCCCCTCGTAACACATGTTACAAGGGTTTTTGCAACGAAATACCGTAATATCCATGTTCAGCGGGTCAGTTTCCTTCTGGGGACGATTCTAACCAAATTTAACCTTTCGATCCAACTTGGAAAATGTGGGCCATTCTATGGGCAATTAGCAGCAGGCTGGGGTCCACCCACCATGGATGACTGGTCTTGAGGTGGAATTTCCTACCGGTAATCAGGAGAATGCTGCAGACGGCACGAAGGTGAGCCAGGTTTTGTTCTTTGCGAGAATACAGGACTGAAGTGTTATTCCACCTCGAAGACCAGTTATCATCAATATGCTAGTCGCAGTATCGTTAAGTCAGCCATGACTAACCTTACCCCAATTTTTGCGAAGCTGAGTCAGAACCTCAGATTTCGCTAAGGTGCCGTCTCTGAGGGTTATTTGACCTCCTGAACACGAATATTATACCTGTTCTGCGCGAAAAGCGCTGTGAGTGAAGGAAGAAGAAAAACAGTGAAGAAACCTCTATAACTCGGCTCAGATAATCGTGCCGCAAATTTTGAAAATAGCTTTGAGTCCACCGCCCCAAGAACAATGATGTGCACCTCATCACATATGGCCAGGCTAACCTGCTGAACTTTCCTGGTAAGCTCAACAGAGTGTTAAGGCCTGATTCCTGCACACCGTCCAAACCGAATACGGGTATAGAGATAGGCTGTATACTCATCTCCTTGGATCCTGGTCCTAAACATGTGTGAGGTGAATGGGCCCGAAGCTTGCAGTAGTGTGTCACACTCTCCACTCCAATGTGCACAAGGACGGGCTGGAGAATAGTCACGCCCGAATGCCCTCTCGCGACTACACCCGCGCTGCCGCACGGCCAGCGACACGCCTAATCATAGCCAAACGCGCTACTTGTCTACGCCCTCTCACTTCTCGTTGTTCTCTGCCGCAGTGTGCCCAGTTTCCATGCACTTTTAAGCGGCCAGCTGTGTACCCACTCACCTGGCACATAGAAGGATCGCCCTCGAAAGTGAGTGTAGAGTTTGTCTTCGAACGACCTGCATGTTTGAAGGTATGGCACGTACATATCACGAACGACTCTAACACGCGGGAGAATCGATTGCTGTTTCAAGATTCTGACACTCCTCCGCTCAAGCCAGCAACGTAAATTACATTCAAATACGCATCAGAGCGTGCGGGGATTTGAGAATGAAATCCAGGTTGCGGATAAGTTCCACTCGTCCCCACACTCCTTGTGAATCGCTGAAACAAGTGCTGTTTACTCTGGAAGTGGGAACTAGCGAACCGCTCCCTGTTTTATCATTTTGACTGCTCGGAATAGAAATGGTGATTTACGTGGTGCCTTTACCAGAGAACACGTGCAAGTATCCTCGACAACGGAGTTCCCGAAGAACGTGTACATATAGTGCTCGGTGATCTTACTGATGAAGAGGTTCAGAAAAGATTAGTGGAGAGTACGATAGCACGATGGGGTCATTTAGATGTATTGGTAAGTGCTTATGTCATTGAACATCATCTGACGTACACTTCACAAACTTGAGACGCGGTGGAGCGTGGCTGCCTATTTGATTAGGATATGGCGTGTGTGTTAGGTAGGGTAGTTCCTGGGACAACCAATCTTGCCTGCATGGGACAAAGACTTGCTCTCAGTGGTCTCAAAATGAAACCCACAAAAGCGCAGCCATTTCCACGTTCAAACGAAGTACAGTCCTGTTCGCCGTGAGTGCTGGAGCGTGTGGGGGTGGGCGCTCGGTTTGCAGCAGCTCGTTTTTCAGCAGTTGTGGTCGCATGCCTCATCAACAACTGGTAGAGAATGCGCTCGCACCGCGTCAGATCCATCCTTCGTGAAACGTGCCACATCCCAACAAAACCGTGCGCGACCACGTCCACTGCTTCTCAAGCATTTAACGTAAAAGTGATAATGAAATCTCAGGTGAATAGTGCTGCGGCGTCTATTACAAATGGAAAAAGAGGATTCGAAGCAGACGATGACGCTTACATGAAGACGATGGATGTCAATCTGAAGAGGTTAGTAGCATGTTGTTGCAAGAAGGTCTAACCTACCTACCTTGTTACTTCTGCCCATACAATTTGTAGCGTCATGCAACTTGTTCGCCTAGCTCGGCCATACCTGATTCATAGCCAAGGCGAAATTGTCAACGTGAGCAGCATCTCGGCACTGAAATTTGGCGTGAGTGGGCACTGAAGTTTGGCGTGGTCGGTTTATTCGACTGACATTAACCGTCTGTTGGTTGTTCAGATAAAGTACGATCCCTACTATGCGATTTCGAAGGCGGGTCTTGACCAGCTCACTAGATCGCTCGCCATTGACCTAATCGAATATGACGTGCGAGTTAACGGAGTGAGGTGTGTGCCTTTCTATTAGGTTGTTCGAAAAGTCCTGCGACACTTTGATTGAATTGTTCTAGAAAAAGACCAAAAATCATTTTGGATGTTTTTATCCCTGATTAGTGGAGACTGTCCTCTGGGGTTTTCTGCACATGGGTATATCATGACTTTGAGGAAGTTTTCAAAGCTTAAAAGTCCCCCAGAGATCGAGGTACTTTTCGACCTGTCCCATATTATGAGTTCCTGTAGGGCCACTTCGCCGTAGTCAAGGAAGCTGACACCTACGTTGTCTTGAGGAAGGATATCGCTTGCCATGGCAGAGGGTAGCTTTTGCATCAGCGCTTCTAGGCTGGACTTATTTAACTCGTAGTTGGGCAATGTATAGGTCGCCCATCAGCACAGAATGACGGCCCTTTACTCAAGCTTCTTGAGGCGCAGCCGAACGTAACCACCGGTAAGTTGGCGACCTCTCTAGGCTCCATCTGACTGACAACTGCCATGCTTCTCCGCAATCTCGGTATCGGAAAAAATTTTTGTGAAGGATGCCTCATGAGTTGGACCCGTCTGACAAGTCATACCGAATGACCGTGACTGAGTTTTCTTTTCCTTGTACACAGCGTAGGAACTTTTGTGAGATCTTGTGGTTGGTAGCGAGTGGTGGAGTCCTTGCGTACATCATGCACATGTCCCTTGCAGGATCTCTCAAACAGAAAAGTAGATTGCTTAGCCAAAAGAAGATGTGCATGGGATAAAGATTTCAGTGTGTTATTGGTGGGACTTCAAAGCGGTATCACTGGATACCAGCACCGTTGTAAGGACCACAGTCCACCTTAATCGACTTCAAAATATGGATGACGTCACGCTTGAATTCATTCAGAAATACTCAATTTTTCTCTACTACTCGGTAATGCGAGGACCGCTGTGGGGATCAGGCTACGCCAAAAGATCATGCATTTCGATCAGAGAATGCGACCGTACTCAGGTTATTTAACAAAGTTAGCAGCCTCTAATTACCACCTCCTTTGGTCACTATCGCATCCTTCAAAAGCAAAAGTTCCGAAAATCAACCTCAACTCGAGAATGAGGTCCACCTCTTCTTTTTACCACAGTTGCCGTAGTTCTATGAGAATGGAAATGAGAAGCTGTGCAAAAGAAAGGCACTAGTCCTAGTCATCAACTGCGGTTACCTTGTAGATTGGAGATGTCCTTTACTGACCAGAAATTTAGTTCGAAAAATTTGGTCAAAGTGTCGCAGGACTTTTCGAACAACCTAATATATACACAGGGGGGCCAAAAAAAGTCATTCCGGCCGAGTCACATATGAGCGAAGTTTTCGCAGCCCAGACAGAGGAAGTGGATACCAGGGCGGAAGATACCCAAGATCTTCCTCTATAAGCAGGAGCCGGCTGCCGCCATTCACCTTCATGTACACCAAAATATGAAGTCATCTCCAGTCGCGGCCTGAGTGGAGAACGCCTTTGGAATTCACGTGGCCTCCAAACAGCTGCGGAACTTCTTGAATGGAATCACCCATGGATAGCTACCTGGAGACCAGTACTCTTGATCTGCAAGACCTCAAACATCGAGCAGCTCCGGCAACGTCGCTACGGTCCAGGACATCATCTTCACCCCATTCACCAAGGCGCGGGTTGATGGTGTGGACCGGCCGTACCTGGAATGGGAAGACCGATATTTTCTTTGTAGACCCCGACTGAAGGTGAGCGCTGGCGGTTACATCAAGTAACTCGAGAAGGATATCCTCCCTACATGTGGTCGCCCGTACCTTCTTGGAGACCTTGTGCTGCTACAGGTTTGGGTGACAACACATTTAATCGAAGGGCGTTGGAAAAACTTTCGCCTACTTGGAATGGAAGAACGTTGAGTACCTGGAAAAGATGGAGTATTTAAGCGGGGGTCCTGAACTAAACCCCCTCATTACTCGGTTCGGGCGGAGCTCAACAGGGTGGTCTACAGTGGCGGAGAAATCAACGATCTCGCTCAACTCCGGTACCCACTCACTTTCGCGCGGCCGAATCTCTCGATGGCGCTCCTCCAGAAGGCTGTGGCGGAGTATCATTATAGTATTTAATGTGCTCTTTAATATGGTAGTAAAAATGTCCGATAAAAATTTAATAAAGTGTAACTTATAGCGCCTTGAAAGTCATGGAGGCAAAATGACTTTTTGGCCCCCCCCTGTATATGTCCAGTTTATCACCAATCATAACGTGAATTACTCATCATACGTAGCAGTACTGAAATAACTAGCCTCTGTTACGAGAACATCTATCTTAACGGAGGTACCGTATACTTTGAGGAAAGTAGTAACTCTCTCTACGAGCTCAACCTTCTCCATGTGTTCCTGTTCTACGCGAATAATCGAGTTTACAGCATAATGTACACATCAAACTGCAGAGAGAACGGACAAAAAGGAACGTCAAGAGTTCTCGATCCTCTCTGCACAAAGTGATGAGGACTGACGGATGAGAGAAACTAATTGAGTCCGAGAGAGATGACGTTAACGGAATGGAATCTGACACGATGTCGTGAAGGCGATTCCACGACCCAAATTCCACGGCGACAACGTCGAAATGATTAGTACTTCAGGAAAAAAGGAAGCGCGATGTCGTAATTATCTGTACTTACACAAGTATTTCTTGTCTATGTGCGAAAGAATCACTCTGGGAAGTGCCGTGTTCTAACGGAGAAGTCAAGGCCAAACAAATTGACGGCTCGACAAGACCATTCAATGAACTTCTTCAGTCGTCCTCACACTGAGAACTTCTTCAAGTCTTCTCACATTGACATTTCTACGTCAGAAGGAGATTCAGAAACCGATCTGGAATTTTTCACAGATTTTTCCAAGCAATGGGTAAGGGACTACAAGCAAAGGAGCCCACGTATACCGATGAGAGACATACGAGCAGCAAACTTGAATGAACATCAAGTAAGACTAACACGCAGCGGAACCTCCAGCAGGCAGGAGGGTCCCTATTTGGTCGCTGGAGGAAGGGGAGAGCGTCTTTGGCTCAGAAAAAATTTTGATAGTTGACTTTCTCGTTTCATGCCTGCTGTCCACATTATCCACATCGTTGGAGTCCCATTGAGGATGGGGAGGGGGCAGAACGGGGGGGGGGGGAGGGCAGGAAGTTGAGGGCAAAGAGAGGGTTGTATTTGCCGGTTGCCTTGAAAGCCAAGTGGGACGTATGTGACTTTGAGAAAGATCTTTTATGTAGTTGACTTTCTAGTCAATTCCAGGGCACAGCGCATTGGTTGGGGATTCCCTATGGGGGGTCGTATTTGGCCGCCAAAAGGGGGGGGTCGTATTTGGGCTGGGAAAAATTTATTTTTATAGTTGATTTTTCTCGCTTTGCGGACGTTTTGGAGGGGGGGGTCGTATTTGGTCGTTGTTGGAGGGGGGAAAGTACGTACCAGCCCCGGTAAAAAAAAAGGGGGGGGGGGTCGTAAAAGCTCGACCAAAATCCCCATCGAATGCTGTGCCCTGCTTTCTTCGGTTTTTTCCCGTTCTACGTGGAAGTGCCTTGACATCGAAGTCAAAAATGCAGAAGTTCATAACAAGGGTAGGTTTTCAGCGAGCCCTCAAGGGACGAGAAAAGAAGAAAATAGGAAAAGAAAGACGGAAAATAAGAGTGAAATTCGATCCATTCAGTCAGCCAACTTTTTCATCCTAAAATTCTCAGAAGAAATGCAAAACAGCTCTATCGTTTAGCGAGTTCTGTTGCCAGTCTGGTCAGTGATGCTATCGAATGACTCTGGTTGTTGCGCCACTTTAGTAATTGTGCCAACTATCGTGCCACATCTGGCCCATCAATTGTCTGGCAAGAAAGATTTCGGCCTATTCTATGCATTGACAGTGGGCTCCATTCCTCTTCAATGAACGAACTTCAAATAGTCTTTTTTCGGAAGGGAAGCAGCTGTATCTACCAGGTGTTCTAAGAATCTCGTTGGCCAATTTCCCTATTTATTCGAATGGCTTTGGACAAGACCATAGGATGAAGAAATGTCACAGACTTCACGACCAAGCAAGAGGGGTCTGCCCAGTTCAACCGAGGGAAGTTAACATGCTTTACTTTAAATTTCGTCCAAATTGTCATGACACTGCTGATCTCAGTCTAACAATACATCAATGTATTATAACATGTTTCACCTTGCGAGATGGGTTGCAGTTGACTGTATGTGCTCCTAATGAATAAAATGTAATAAAGGAGAGCAGAATTATTTATGGGCACGAGCGCGGTCAGCAAAAGGGCATGCGATTCCGATTAATGCCCGCCGCCAACAAAGAACAACTGAGCGGCCCTCCGTCAGAGGGCATCTAGCAAGTGGGCGGTCCAACTGAGCGGGCGTTAGAACTAGAACTTTCAGCGGCTGTAGCACGCTCGCTGTGGAGTCGCGAGAGTGGGACAGTCTCTTAGCTTGGGGGCTGGACTACTTGCACAAGGAAGGACGACCATGAACTACTTGAGCGCGGGGGCTGTCTTCGAATACACAAAGGGTAAAGTCTTTGCTGTCGATTGTACATCTCTTCGGAATTGTAATGACTGAATGCGATTGGCCTATAAATACAACGACTTGTGGGCTAGCCGATTTACAATTCAGGGTCCTCCTAAATGAATATGGTGCCGATTCACCGTCCCCGGAGGGTAAAAAGCTTAGTTTCCCTTTGCGGGAGCCGATCGGGGATTTGGTTCCCAGACCGTGCGCGTGGTAAGTGTATTACTTGCCACAACACCACCTTCGAATCATCAAACACTTTATAAGAGATTTTAGCTAAAAATTAAAAAAAGTAACACATTCAAATTTGATTCCTTTGATGAACACAGAGGAGAGTTAACAGGCTTGCTCACTCCGTATCCAAGAGCGTGTGCCAAAACGCTGCTCCATTTCGCAGTTTTACAAGAGTTTCTAGGTCCTATACCTTATATCCCGGAAACTGAGAGGGCGGGCTCATCTGGACATGGAATGCGACGCGTTTTTTCGTGGAATATTTCTATTTAAAATAGCCATCCTGTTTAGAGCTAGACAAGGTCACAAATCGGCATATTCCTTCAATATAAAGAAATACGCAGCCAGGCCCTTCCCATTTCTAGGAAATTGAGTGTACCAAGATGCGTAAACTGAAGAAACCAGAAAACTCACGAAAGGGACACTCCCCCACCTCTCAAGCCAAACGGCACCCATTACCCTAGTAAATATGTAAGATAAACCCACTGAACACAACGAAAAACACTGAATTAAAAATACAAGTGATTGATACTAAGCTGTAATTATAACACTACAATTCTAAACAAAATATTTTTGCAACATTACACGACTACTAAAAGGAAAAAAATCGTCAATGTGAAATCTGAAGCTCAAACAATGTTCAACGATGCAGTGTATTCATTAATTTCTTTCTCATGGAGCCTGTTCCCCGACCAGAAGATTGGCTAGCATTCGCCTAATCCGCATCTCGATCAAGGGCACTCAATTGAGGAGGATGAGCTTGGTGTCGTATTCGATCGGAATAGTGTAATTTATGGAAATCGCGGGTTCAATCTAAGATCGGGAGATTCATGACCTG